CATCGATTTGACTTGAATTACCAGTTACTTCATTCTTTGAAATAGTGGAAGGTTGTATCGCATTTTCATCGGTTTGATTTGAATAACCATTAGACGATTGTGTCGCATTTTCATCATATTGAATTACTAGTTGTTTCATTTTTATTGTCCAAAAGTTTAATCAGTCAATAATTTTCGGTCTTTAGCATAAAAATATGCTAATTTAAAATGCTTACCTGATTTTTCTGAAAGGTTTTTAAGTACATTTTCATCGATTTGACTTGAATTACCAGTTATTTCATCATTTGAACTAGTAGATGGGTGCACCACATTTTCTTCGTCTTGAATCACTAGTTGTTTCATTTTTTATTATCAAAAGTTTAATTGATCAATAATTTTCGGTCTCTGCACAAAAATACACTAATCTACGACGCTTACCTGAATTTTCTAAAAGGTTTTTAAGTGTTTTTAAAATGTCTTCTAATTTTGGACGTTGGTTCGGACAATAATCCCAACATCTTTTATAAAGTTGAATATATGTGTCAGGGGTATCTTCAATAGGTTCTTCTCTATTTCCACTGATTATATGAAGGACAAGGGCCCCGAGACTAAATGATTGGAATGGCGGTCGGCCACTTGAAATTTCCCAAAGAATTATCCCAAAGCTGTAGATGTCAGATTCTTTGTTAAGTTTATAATTTTTATCTGCTAAACATTGAGGATCAATATACGCTGGCATCCCATTAACTCCAGAATTTAAGCTTATTGATGTCTCATTTTTTGATAGGCCAAAGTCTGAAATCAACATTTTTTCTTCATGAACTAGAATGTTTTTAGAGTGCTAAAATGAAGATTTATTGGTTAGCAAATCTATAAATTATCTTGTTAAATAACCAGATAAATTAATACTTACGAGATCTCGGTGAATAATATTATTTTTATGTAAGAATTCAAGACCATCTGAAATTTCGCATGCTATTCGCAATTTGTCAGTCCATTTTAGCTTTGGAAATTTTTTTCCTAAATACCCACGTAAATCTCCATTATTTGCAAATTGTAAAATCATATAATATTCATTTAACTGATCTGTCAATATACGGATAAATTTTTTTCAGAAAAATTATTGATTTCGAAAGTAAATACAGATTATTATTTATTATTATTATTTACTAACCTCGAGTAACACCATGAAAGTCAATAATATTTGGATGCTTGCAAACTTTTTGTAAGAGCTTAAGCTAAATAAATAGTATTTAATGAATATATTTATTAGGTTATATAATACCTTTGCACTATCACTGTTACTGTAAATAATAATCATTTACCTCATTAACAAATTTTTGAATGGTCTTTTCTTCATTCAAAGGTTTGTCTAGCTTTTTAAGAGCAACAGTCAATCTGCGGTCTTGCCATTCTGATCGATACACAACTCCGAACCCCTTTATCAATTTTTTCAGGAGCGGAGAATTTAGTATAGTCGTAATATTTAATGCCCCTTTCACTAATTGCATTTTCGAGCTGTCCCATATTTTAGTAAATAAGTTTTATATGCTTAACAATACGAAAAGGCTGGAATAAAGTCTAAGGAAAAAATACGATTACGTATAATGAGGAAAGTGAAAATGAAGAATGATAATAAGAATAGCAATTGTAATAACTGCGATTTTATGCATAAAGTGCAGTTTAAAGACAAAAGGCTTTGTTTTAATACATAATAGTGCATGCTGCATACTCCAATTTTGGTTTTTTAATACGTAACGGTAACGGTAAAAATAAAACGATCGATT